CCCCAGGCTTCAGGAAAGCCACCCGAGGAAAGACTGGGGAGGGCAAAAAACTTACCCAACGGGCCAACCGGAAGTTTGTTCCTGAACTTCCGGTTGGGCCATTGGGCTGTTTCCTCCCCCTTCCCCAGGCTTCAGGAAAGCCACCCGAGGAAAGACTGGGGAGGGCAAAAAACTTACCCAACGGGCGAACCGGAAGTTTGTTCCTGAACTTCCGGTTGGGCCATTGGGCTGTTTCCTCCCCCTTCCCCAGGCTTCAGGAAAGCCTCCAGAGCCTGGGAGGGCAAAAACTCCACCACCACCACCCCATGCAGGGGGCGCACGAAAATGAGCAGGTGGTGGGGTCGCGCACGCATGCACAAATGAGTGGGCACGCATGTGCGTGCAATAGCGCACGCACACACACAATTTTGGCACACCTTTAGAGGGTGACATTCCCTATAAATTTCATCCGGTTCACTCAGTGTCCACAATCAAGATTTGTCCAGAACTGGATAGAAACGGAACGGTTCTCATTTGTCTTTAATGCAAAAAAAAAAAAAGAAAAGAAAAGAAAAGAAATTCTTGGCTACCTATTAAGAGAAAGAAAACATTCCAACTTGGTTGATGAGTTGCAAAAGGCTGTGTGTAGCTGTGCGAGGCTCGTCCTTTCCGACCGCAAACAACACAAACGCAGGAACAAGCCTCGCAGCTGTCAGTATTAGAAAGCACAGCCGAGAAGCCTCATTGCCAAAGAAGCAGGGGATGGGTTTGGAGAAGCTGCGGTGTCGGAAGACGGAAAGGCAGGGAAACCCAAGAGAAATCAACCCTCCACCACCAGAGGTTATGGGGAAAGCATACAGGCCGCAATTTCTGTCGTCTAATGCCACCTTGGCAGGAGGCCTCCGATTAAGCAGGATTAAGAAGCTGGCCCTGCCTACCTGCCCTCCTCCTTTCCAGAGCTCCTAAAAAGACAGCTGCATTCAGAAGTTGCTGCTTCTTCGGCTGAAGGCTCAGATCTGGCTCCTTGGCTGGATTTGAAGACTCTTCGGGGAGTTTCAAGAAAACCTGAGAGAAACGGGATCTGTCCCCCTTCTGAGCCAGCAAAGCTTCCAACTTTAAAGGCCTCCTTTAATTCAATGCCTGAGAAGGCTGCTTCTACTTACTCCCCACAGACTGAAGTATAAACGCCTTGTTTAAAGGGCATCGAGTGGCAAGATGTCTGCCCCTTACCTTGGAAACCAGCCTGCCAGGAAATAAATGTCAAGACACTGCACGGCGCCCTTGGCCAGACAAGGTTTCCGGGGGGACCGGGGGGGGGGGGAACACCCCACTGGTTGCCTTGGTAAACTGGCAGAGGAAGTGGAGGTTATCTTGAGTCAAGCAGCTCCCTGTAACAGGTGACTTTGTAAACCTGCTCACCAAAGGGCTCCCCCTTTTTTCTCCCAACTTGGGTAATCCGAAACACAGGTGGGCTTAGCAATACCCATCTTCTTATAAGGTCCAGGAAACGGAGCGCCACGGTGACCCCACCAGCCAAAATCAACAACCAGAAGGTCCCCCCCAAAGAGCAACTTCTAGACAGAATGCAAGAGCAGTGGAAACAATACCTGCTCAGCTACCCGTGCTAGTAAGAATGCTCTCCTGGGGCAACTGTCCTGGTATCTTTGGGGGGGGCGCTGGCTGTGCCATGCAGGTGAAAAAGCAGGTGAATTAGGAGCTTCCTGTTGGAAAGCAGGTGGTCAATTGCCACCTGAAAATTGGCCAACTAAAAGAAGAATGTTTTTTGCTACCTGTACAAATACAAATCTAAGTATCCCCAACTATCAACCTGCCTAAAACTCCTTTGCTAGCTAAACCACCTCAGATTTAGAGGTCATTTTTCCACGCGGCGGCTTGGCCTCTTCCTGACCGTCAAGGCTACTTGGCCTCCTGCACGAACCTTAGTTAATATGTACGAGGCGCCCTGGATGTAACACTTCAGCTTTTGCTTCTCTTTATTATTGATGCACCTGGGCTGTTGCGTAAGGCCCTGCTTGTGCTACGTTTCCTCCCAGACCGTGTGCAGATCAGCTTACCGAGGCAAGCAGGGGATCACCTTACCCCTCACGGAGCACTTCCAAGCTTTCCCTCCTAAGACACCCCCCCCCCAAAAAAAAAGATCGCCTGCCCTCCCATTTACCATGGCAACCCTGAATCATTGGAGAGGCTTGACTCATCCCGACAGAAAAATGGTTCATGCTTACAAGCCTATAAATACAGTTTGTCACGAGTTTGTCCTGACCCAGCATTTCGTACTCATTCACACTCGGGGCTTGTGAAGAAGAAGCAGCAGCAGCAGCAGCACCATCTTCACGAGGTCCTAATTGCCACAGGAAATACTATCTCTTTATTAACCAGGATCATCTCCATCCTCTGTTTTACAGGGGGGGGGGGGGGGGATGTACAGGAAAAGGAAAAAAGAGCCAAGGATTGCAAGTTCCAGCGGCAGCTTTACAGCTTTAGCAGAAACTGCTCTGGATAGAATGGCTGAATGATTATTCCCTCCTCCAGAAAAAGAACTCGTTGTTTTAAGAGAATTAAGACCGTCTGCAAAATCCACCTGATAGGAAAGGACAAGCCTGGGCCCTGGATGATGAGCATGGCAGGTAAGTCCTCCTCACCTTGCCCTCCCTAGGGGCCAAAGCCAGGGGTCAACTGCTGACTCAGGAGAGACCCTCGGGCCTAGCAATGCCAGCCTTCATTGGCTCCGTTGCCTTACTGTGTGCGCTGCCGAGGCTGCGTTTTGTTCTTTAAAATGCTGCCGTAGGGAACTGATCAGTCATGCCGTTCTCCGATTTGCATTCTGAACGCAAACAAGTCATTAGGCTCCCGTTCAGCTGGGAGGTGCACCCTGGCAGTCAAAACATTTCCAGCAGAGGCACAAACCCACACGAGCCTCTTGCAGAAGGTGCACGGAGTGGAGTAGGAGGTCCCTTCTCCTGCCTCGGTTCCCCTTGTCTACAAGTGTGATCTTCTGGGGTTTCCCCCCCACGCTGCTCTTTCTTCTAACGTGGAAGGCACTAGCTATTTTTATTTTGGGCCCACTGCTCTGCACTTATCTTAAAAGGAACGACTTTCCACCCTTATATTCTCTTCCCACCGCCCATATTGCTCAACGTCAAGCTTCCTTCGGCTTCTACGCTTCTCAAGGCTGCCTGCTCTCCGTGGAGTCACCCCACACCAAGTCTGGAACTCAAATGTTCTGCCAGCTGCAATCTAAATTGCACGCTTAGTTCACCTCACAGACCGGGTTTTGGTCTTCTCTTACGCAAATCTGGGACTGTGCTGTGAAACGACTTCTCTGTGCCCAACCGCGTACGAGCGAGATGGCTAAAACCAAATATTGAGGCTTGTTCATCGCTACAGAACTTGTGAACTAAGCCTCACTTAGAAGACTCAAGACAGTTCCCAGAAGACAGCTTGAAAACCAGCCTTTCAATAAACGAGAACCACTTGCATCCAAGGCAGACTGAGCCAACAAAACCCTTCGTGGCTCAACAAGGAATCCCCTAACCCAATATTTATTCCAATATTTGAGGGGTTGCCACAAAGAAGAGGCGGCCAAATTATTTTCCAAAGCACCAAAGAGCAGGAGAAGAAATAATGGATGGAAATTAATCGAGAAGAGAAGCAACTTGGGTGTTAAGGAGAAACTTCCCGACAGTGAGGACAATTAACAGTGGGACAGAAGTTGTGGGTGCTCTATCACTGGAGGTTTTCAAGAAGGGACTGGACAGCCACTTGTCCGAAATCGCATAGGTTCTCCTGTCTGAGCAGGGGGCTGGACTAGAAAACCCCCAAGGTCCCTTCCAGCTCTATTCTGTTCTAATATGGCGGTCAAACATCCCCCCTTTCAGAATCCACTGCAGAGAAGGAAAATGGCTCAAAAAGCAGAGAGCTCAGAGCAAACCAAGTCACTGGGCAGGCAGAGGAGGCAGAGTCCACACTCCGGCGTTTCCTTACCTGAGTACAGTGACGCTCCCCCTCCGCACGGGCAGGAAGAAGACCGGCTCGGAGACCCTGATGGGCTTGAACTGGAACTTGCATCCGAAGCAGAGGGCTGAGTCACTGAAGAAAGACACCGAGACAATCGGCCTCTCAAAGATGTGAATGGGGTCCACGTGGGAGACGATGCAGCCCCCCGGCTGGTAATCGTTGATCACCGCACTGTTCACAAAACCATCGGGGATGACCCGGTGTTCCACCAGCTTGCGGATGACCAGGTCGTGAACCCACTCAGGAATGGTGTCCACTTCCCCCCGCGGGTACAGCCGCTCCTGGCCGGGGCCTCGCCTCTGCAGCTGAGACCCATAGGTGTAGCCCTCCCCAAAGAAGTACTTGTTCCGGAGCGGGGCCCTGTCCACCGTGTGCTCTTTGTAGAGGCCCTTCTCGGCCCGGGAGACCACCTCGTCGATGCGCGCTTCGATCTTGACGCATTCCTCAGGGCTGAACAAGCGCAGCTGCCGGATGCCGCCTTTGACCTTCTGGGCCTCCTCTTCTTCCTCCTCCTCCTCCTCCCCCCGCAGGGGGTCTTCAGAGTCGGTGGGCTCGGAGTCGGAATCGTGGTGGTGCTTGCGCTTGCGTTCGGGGGCTCCCCCCCCAGCCCCGTAGGGGGACTCGGCAGGATCCCGCCTGCTCTTGCTGCCACCGCTGCTCTTGTAGCCGTCCCGGTAAGGCATCATCGATTTGAGCTTCTCTCGTAGGTCCGTATATCCACTCCCAGCCATGGCCAGTCCCCTGGTCACCGCTGCCCTCTCAGTTAAATCCCCTGAGGTGCGGCTGGAAGGGCTGGTGAGCGGGATGGCCTGGTATAATGTTCACGGCATGGTCCGGCGTTGCAGAATGAGCCCCGGGAGGAAAGAAAGCCAAAGGCCTACAGTTTGGCCTCCGCCCCGAATCAAGGGCCCTTCCGGATGGGGAGGATGCCCCCTCCCCCTTCCAAGAGTTTCCCCTTGCCCACCACCAGAACAGGGGCAAGGGGACCCCCGAGTCTGGTGAGAAAGCTACGTATTCAGTTTTCAGCCTAAGGCTTGAAAGGAGGCGGGCGCCGAGCCCGGCATTTCCACCTGTAGCCACCAATTTTATTCCTCCGACGTGTGTGCCAAGACCTCAGAGATCTCACCTGCAGGGAGAAGGAAGTTACGGGAGTCGGTCAGGATGCTGAGAAAAAGTCCTTACGTGCCCCGGGGGAACCCATCCTGCCAGCCTTTCCCTGGGCAAAAGGATAAAAGTCAGGAGGGGCTGACCAGGAGAAGGGCAAAGCCCACCCACCCCGTTCTCCCCTTCCCTTACTGAAGGAGGCAAGCCAAGCCATCCAAGAGCCAAGGTGGCGCAGTGGTTAGAGTGCAGCACTGCAGGCCACTTCAGCTGACTGCTATCTGCAGTTCAGCGGTTCTAATCTCACCGGCTCAAGGTTTGACTCAGCCTTCCATCCTTCCGAGGTGGGTAAAATGAGGACCCGG